GGAAGGTCAAAGGTAATAAATCCAATTAGTCCCTGGACACACTCCTTTTCATTGGATCATTCCTGTCTACGTCAGCGTCACTGTCCGTCACTGTCCGTCAGTGTCAGTCACTGTCCGTCACTGTCGGTCAATGTCAGTCACTGTCCGTCACTGTCGGTCAGTGTCAGTTACTGTCGGTCAGTGTCAGTTACTGTTTGTCAGTGTCAGTCACTGTCGGTCAGTGTCCGTCACTGTCACTCACTGCTCATGCATGTCTAATAGCACTGTATAACCCCTGAGGGCTTATCGCTTTTCAAAAAAAAATAATTATGACAATAATAATCAGTAATAATAATAATAATAATAATAATAATAATAATAATAATAATGATAATAATAATAATAATAATAATAATAATAATAATAAATAAAAATTAGTAATAATAATAATAATTAATAATTATAATCATAATAGTAATACCTCTGATTTATGTATACACTCTTGTATGTGTACGGGTGCACATGTATGTCTGCCTAAGTGTGTATACATATGTGCCACTGGTGAGTAAATGATGGTGTACATGTGTACGTGTCTGTGTGTACTCGCCTAATTGTGGTTGCAGGGGTCGAGTCATACTTCCTCCCCCCCCCCTCCTCCCCGCCTCTTAACTGATCGCTGCTAGGTCTTCTCTCTCTCCCTGCTCCATGACCTTTATCACACTTCGACTTAAAACTATGTATGGTTTCTGCCTCCACTACGTCACTTGCCAAAATATTCCACTCCCTGACAACTCTGTGACTGAATAAATACTTCCTAACATCCTTTTGACTCATCTGAGTTTTCAACTTCTTGTTTCCGTGTCCTGTCTTTGGAACATCCTGTCTTTGTCCACCTTATATATTCTTCTCAGCATTTTGTATGTCGTTATCATGTTTCCCTTGACCCTCCTGTCCTCCAGTGTCGTCAGGCCGATTTCCCTTAACCTTTCTTCGTAGGACATCCCCCTTAGCTCTGGAACTAACCTTGTTGCAAACATTTGCACTCTCTCTAATTTCTTGACGTGCTTGACCAGGTGTGGGTTCCAAACTGGTGCTGCATACTCCAGTATGGGTCTGACGTACACGGTGTACAGTGTTTTGAACGATTCCTTACTAAGGTATCGGAACGCTATTCTCAGGTTTGCCAGGCGCCCATATGCTGCAGCAGTCATCTGGTTGATGTGTGCTTCCGGAGACGCGCTCGGTATTACACTCACCCCAAGATCTTTCTCCTTGAGCGAGGTTTGCAGTCTTTGGTCTTTGAGGTTTGCGGTCTTCTTTGCCCTTTCCCGATTTTCATAACTTTGCATTTGGCGGGGTTAAATTCGAGAACTCTGTAGCTGGACCACGTGACCAGCCTGTCCAGGTCTCTTTGTAGTCCTGCCTGATCTTCATCTGATTTAATTCTCCTCATTAATTTCACATCACCTGTAAACAGGGACACTTTTGAGTCTATCCTTTCTGTCATGTAATTCACATATATCAAAAATAACACTGGTCCTAGGACTGACCCCTGTGGGACCCTGCTCGTCACGGGCGCCCAGTGTGACACCTCATCACGTAACATGACTCGCTGTTGCCTCCCTGTCAGGTATTCTCTGATCCATCCATTGTGTGTGCGTGTGCGTGTGTGTATGTGTGTGTGTGTGTGTGTGTGTGTGTGTGTGTGTGTGTGTGTGTGTGTGTGTGTGTGTGTGTGTGTGTGTGTGTGTGTGTGTGTGTGTGTGTGTGTGTGTGTGTGTATGTGTAAGTTAGTGTACAAGGATGTGCATTTGGTGAGCAAATGGCGGAGTGAATTTGTGTGTGTTATGGAGCGCGCGCGTGTGTGTTGGTATGTGCATCTGGTGTATAAAAAGAGCGGTGCACATATGTGCGCGTTGTTAACGTGTGTGTTTAAGGTGGAGAGAGTCATGGGCACCGTGCCAGCAACCAATATTGTGCAAAGAAAAGCAATAATATTGAACATCAGGAGGATATTAAGAATGCCGGGGAATACGGATTACGCGCCAAGTTCCTGGATAATAGTCTCTCTCTCTCTCTCTCTCTCTCTCTCTCTCTCTCTTTCTCTCTCTATCTCTCTCTCTCTCTCTCTCTCTCTCTCTCTCTCTCTCTCTCTCTCTCTCTCTCTCTCTCTCTCTCTCTCTCTCTCTTACATAAAGAGTTTTACAAGGTTAAGTTAAGAGTTCGTGTCTTTATTTACAAGCAAAGAGCTGCAACCTACATCAGTTTGTTGGAAAACCTTACCTAATAGGCCATACAAATAGGACACACGACGAAGATGGAGCCATCTGTGGCCCAGTGATTTCATTTTATGTGACTTTATTTCTTCTATGTTTGCTATGTTGCATGAACGTGTTCCGGTCTTGAGTCATTCCAAGAATGAATGATCTTAGATGAGGTGATGTTCTTGATGTTCAAGGCCCCCGAGACGGGCCCCTTGCTGCCCGTCTCGGGGTATGCGAGGTATCTTCTCAATGCCCGCGAAGCATAGCTTAGTGTAATACCTTGGCATTATTGGCCTTGTTCATAACGTTAAAGCCACCCACATCCCTCCGGTGTTAAGGGCTCTTCTGAAATGACAGATCTATCTAGGCCTGGTCCAGGCCGGGTCCAGGAGGGTCCAGAAGAAGTCGTAGAAGTCGTAGAAGAAAAAGCCGTAGAAGAGACGGTGAAGGGGGGGGGGGAGAGGGAGGCAGGAAATACAGGAAAGTGGAGCATACTCAAGTTGAGAGCTCACTTGTGTCTTGTACAGAGTGTTGCAGCCTCTTCTATCGAGCAGGTGCAAGTTACACCTTAGTACCATTAGCTTCTTGGCTGCCATGCTTGGAAGGTTCAACCTGAGGTTCTTCTTAGACATTCTGAATCAAATTTCACAGCTAGAATATATACTTCATCTCCTGGCTCTAACATTCTTCCATTCATTCTTTCCACTGCTCCAGTATTAACATCATGGTGCCAAGAGACCATCATCATTTGTGTTTTCTCAAAAGCAAATGTAACCTTTCAACGTTTCCTCCAATTTGATATAACTGTAAGCTGATGATTGATGTACCTGAGACTAGGTGGTATTTCCTCTCAAGGATAAGTAAATGTTAGAGTAGAGTCGTTTATACTGGCATGGGAATCTGGGATGAAGTGACGTTACTGAAGGATAAATTCTATTACTATGAATGAAACACTTACCTGTGGAGTGTCTTGTTGACTCTGCTTCTTGAGACTGCACTAGAAGATACATGTTAAGGTGGCCACTAAGGAGACAAAGAGCAGGCCAGAGACATATAGTACTTGCAGTTTTGCCAAGAGTCCCTGGTGCCATACTCTGTCGAAGACACTAGCAATGTCCAGTGCCACTACACAGCTTATCCTTGATTCATCCAGAGACTGGTGCCACGTAGTGGAGAGTTTTAATAAAAAGATCAGCTCCGGAGCATTCTTTTCTAAAGCCATATTAACGGTCACAAAGTAGCGAGTGGCAGTCAAAGAAAAATGAAGTCATTTACCGGGAAGTTTTTATCTAAGGTTTTCTACCAGTGTTTGACAGGAGTGACACTGGTTTGTAGTTAGTGATTACTTGTTCCTCGGAAGCAAAATGTCCAGTAAATAGGCCAGGTTTTTCTTGATTGGTGGTAAAACAGTTTCATCCTGCCAATTTAGAGGCGGAATAATTTCGTCTGATGAATATACTTGTTGGACCTTGATCAAGGACAGCCAGGGTTTAGAACCCACTTTCCCTGATGCCATTTTTTTCTGTATCAGCTTCCCATTTAGATATAGCCGAACGTTGGACCTTCTCTATTCACCAACAGGCTTGTCTATACAGGTTTATGTTATAGATAGTGGAATACCTGTCATACCTTCTTCAAGCCTTGTACCTAGCAATAGCAGCCTCTCGACAACGAAAGGCAAACCAAGGCTGATCTGAAGGCTTCGTTACATAGTACCAGCAGAGGATGTACATGTGTTGGAGATTAAGAATATGTTTAGTGAAGGATTTCATTTGGTTATTAACTTCACCTGAGAGAAGAGTGTTGAGTTCTGAGTCGGTAAATTCTGAGCAGAGGGTCTGCCAGTACTCTCTCTCTCTCTCTTTCACTCTCTGTCTGTCTGTCTGTCTGTCTCTCTCTCTCTCTCTCTCTCTCTCTCTCTCTCTCTCTCTCTCTCTCTCTCTCTCTCTCTCTCTCTCCACACACAGACACACAAAGAGACAGATCTATACACCCTATCTTCCCCTCCTCTTTAAGACAGGCACATAAATACACCTATTTTAAAATTTCAAACAAATCTTGCTAAAAGGCTTAAGTAAATCTCATTAAAAGACTTAACAAAACACATTAAAAGGCATAATATATCTTATTATAAGGCTTGTTCAAATCTTATTACCTGGGCGTCCCAATGCGTCCTCTTGGAGGGCTCAGGATATTTTATTTTGTGAAGGACATTCAAATAAGACTTTTTTTTCCATGAAACCCCAATTATAATATTCTCTTTCGTATTCATGGACATTTTAGAATTTTAATGACCGATGTTTCACCCTTGTTGTTATCAAAGATGTTTCACCCTTGTTGTTATCAAAGATGTTTCACCCTTGTTGTTATCAGAGATGTTGTGAATGACAGTGACACTTGTTGTGACTATTGATGTTGTGATTATTCGTGTTGTAGTGACAAACTTGTTGTGGATATCGAAGTTGAAGTTGATGTTCCGGTGATCACTGATTAGTAACATTCATCAATCTCTTGACATCTCAAAAAAAAAGTGTTAAGTTGTATTGAGTGTCAGTAACGTAACAAGTTAAGTTGTATTGAGTGTCAGTAACGTAACAAGTTAAGTTGTATTGTCAGTAACGTAACACTGCGTTACGTTTTGTCCGATGTTTTGATGTGGACAGTTTTACGCTGATGAGAAATTTGAAACCTGTAACAAATTCAATTTACGTGACCAACTGTAGAAGTGTGACCAGTGGTCACAGTTCGAGACCTGACCTGTTTATTCCATCGTAGCCGGCTCCGAGGCCCACGTAATCAACCCCTGCCATCGTGCGGACGTGATTGATGTGTCCTGTGGATGACAACACATCGTATGGGGTCATCAATGTGATTCAATTTAAGGTCATTACCTGCGAAATTAAGACAGTTATTAACATATGTTCGTGGGTTAAACTGGTTAAACTGTTGACTTCCTGAGGGTCATTAAGGCTGGATGTCACCCGGTCACCAAAAGTCAAGAATACTTTAATACCTTAAATAGGGGTTAAACTCTCGGTGTGTATACACTGAGATAGCAGCTCAGTGTATACACATTGCAAAAGCAGGTCAGTGTATAAACACTGAGAGAGGAGGTCAGTGTATATACAATGTGAGAGAAGCTCAGTGTATATACAGTGAGAGAGAAGCTCAGTGTATATACAGTGAGAGAGGAGCTCAGTGTATATACAATGAGAGAGAAGCTCAGTGTATATACAATGTGAGAGAAGCTCAGTGTATATACAGTGAGAGAGAAGCTCAGTGTATATACAGTGAGAGAGGAGCTCAGTGTATATACAATGAGAGAGAAGCTCAGTGTATATACAGTGAGAGAGGAGCTCAGTGTATATACAATGAGAGAGGAGCTCAGTGTATATACAATGAGAGAGAAGCTCAGTGTATATACAGTGAGAGAGGAGCTCAGTGTATATAAAATGAGAGAGGAGCTCAGTGTATATGCAATGAGAGAGGAGCTCAGTGTATATACAGTGAGAGAGGAACTCAGTGTATATACAATGAGAGAGGAGCTCAGTGTATATACAATGAGAGAGGAGCTCAGTGTATATACAGTGAGAGAGGAACTCAGTGTACATACAATGAGAGAGGAGCTCAGTGTATATACAGTGAGAGAGGAGCTCAGTGTATATACAGTGAGAGAGGAGCTCAGTGTATATACAATGAGAGAGGAGCTCAGTGTATATACAATGAGAGAGGAGCTCAGTGAATATACAATGAGAGAGGAGCTCAGTGTATATACAGTGAGAGAGGAGCTCAGTGTATATACAATGAGAGAGGAGCTCAGTGTATATACAGTGAGAGAGGAACTCAGTGTATATACAATGAGAGAGGAGCTCAGTGTATATACAGTGAGAGAGGAGCTCAGTGTATATACAATGAGAGAGAAGCTCAGTGTATATACAGTGAGAGAGGAGCTCAGTGTATATACAATGAGAGAGGAGCTCAGTGTATATACAATGAGAGAGAAGCTCAGTGTATATACAGTGAGAGAGGAGCTCAGTGTATATAAAATGAGAGAGGAGCTCAGTGTATATGCAATGAGAGAGGAGCTCAGTGTATATACAGTGAGAGAGGAACTCAGTGTATATACAATGAGAGAGGAGCTCAGTGAATATACAGTGAGAGAGGAGCTCAGTGTATATACAATGAGAGAGGAGCTCAGTGTATATACAATGAGAGAGGAGCTCAGTGTATATACAGTGAGAGAGGAGCTCAGTGTATATACAATGAGAGAGGAGCTCAGTGTATATACAATGAGAGAGGAGCTCAGTGAATATACAATGAGAGAGGAGCTCAGTGTATATACAATGAGAGAGGAGCTCAGTGTATATACAATGAGAGAGGAGCTCAGTGTATATACAGTGAGAGAGGAGCTCAGTGAATATACAATGAGAGAGGAGCTCAGTGTATATACAATGAGAGAGGAGCTCAGTGTATATACAATGAGAGAGGAGCTCAGTGTATATACAGTGAGAGAGGAGCTCAGTGTATATACAATGAGAGAGGAGCTCAGTGTATATACAGTGAGAGAGGAGCTCAGTGTATATACAATGAGAGAGGAGCTCAGTGTATATACAATGAGAGAGGAGCTCAGTGAATATACAGTGAGAGAGGAGCTCAGTGTATATACAATGAGAGAGGAGCTCAGTGTATATACAATGAGAGAGGAGCTCAGTGTATATACAGTGAGAGAGGAGGTCAGTGAATATACAATGAGAGAGGAGCTCAGTGTATATACAATGAGAGAGGAGCTCAGTGTATATACAATGAGAGAGGAGCTCAGTGTATATACAGTGAGAGAGGAGCTCAGTGTATATACAATGAGAGAGGAGCTCAGTGTATATACAGTGAGAGAGGAGCTCAGTGTATATACAGTGAGAGAGGAACTCAGTGTATATACAATGAGAGAGGAGCTCAGTGTATATACAGTGAGAGAGGAGCTCAGTGTATATACAGTGAGAGAGGAACTCAGTGTATATACAATGAGAGAGGAGCTCAGTGTATATACAGTGAGAGAGGAGCTCAGTGTATATACAGTGAGAGAGGAGCTCAGTGTATATACAGTGAGAGAGGAGCTCAGTGTATATACAGTGAGAGAGGAGCTCAGTGTATATACAGTGAGAGAGGAACTCAGTGTATATACAGTGAGAGAGGAGCTCAGTGTATATACAGTGAGAGAGGAGCTCAGTGTATATACAGTGAGAGAGGAGCTCAGTGTATATACAGTGAGAGAGGAGCTCAGTATATATACAGTGAGAGAGGAGCTCAGTGTATATACAATGAGAGAGGAGCTCAGTGTATATACAGTGAGAGAGGAGCTCAGTGTATATACAGTGAGAGAGGAGCTCCGTGTATATACAGTGAGAGAGGAGCTCAGTGTATATACAATGAGAGAGGAGCTCAGTGTATATACAGTGAGAGAGGAGCTCAGTGTATATACAGTGAGAGAGGAGCTCAGTGTATATACAGTGAGAGAGGAGCTCAGTGTATATACAGTGAGAGAGGAGCTCAGTGTATATACAGTGAGAGAGGAGCTCAGTGTATATACAGTGAGAGAGGAGCTCAGTGTATATACAGTGAGAGAGGAGCTCAGTGTATATACAGTGAGAGAGGAGCTCAGTGTATATACAGTGAGAGAGGAGCTCAGTGTATATACAGTGAGAGAGGAGCTCAGTGTATACACAGTGAGAGAGGAGCTCAGTGTATATACAGTGAGAGAGGAGCTCAGTGTATATACAGTGAGAGAGGAGCTCAGTGTATATACAGTGAGAGAGGAGCTCAGTGTATATACAGTGAGAGAGGAGCTCAGTGTATATACAGTGAGAGAGGAGCTCAGTGTATATACAGTGAGAGAGGAGCTCAGTGTATATACAGTGAGAGAGGAGCTCAGTGTATATACAGTGAGAGAGGAGCTCAGTGTATATACAGTGAGAGAGGAGCTCAGTGGGTGCTCAGAGGACAAAGCTCAGAGATAAAATGGTAACTGGAAAGCTAGAGACAAGAACAGAGCTCCGATGCTCATGTAAAACTTTTAGAAACTTTTCTCTGGCTACGTTTCGCCCACCAGCATCTTCCTGAATCCTATTTTAACAACTGCGGGGTAATATTTATCTTGTGTGATGCACCTATGTGTGTTTGTACTGATGAATAAGTCACAAATGCAACATTTTGCATTGTTTCGCCTGGAACGTTTCGCCTGTGTGAAAGGCTTTTTTGAGTCTAATTCAGAGATTACTATAGAAATGAAGACAGAGGCAGAATTCTGTTTTTGACTGAAGAAACTTGATGTGTAGGCGAAATATTTCGGCTAAAAAAAGATTCACAAGTGTTGGGCATGTGTCTGCATCAAGTGGTGGATACATATGTATACCAGTAATATGTGTATGTATTAACCGACCCCAGTGTCGGCAGGTATCTGTGTCCTCTCCTTTCAATGGTTAACTTCTATCATCCTTTTTCAACACTCCGATTTTATCAGGGAGTATAGGTCTATAATTCTCGTTGTATAACACTCCTATAGATCTATCATTCTTGTCGTCTAATACTCGCTTTCTGAGAGGTAATAGCGTCCTGCCTGACTCTCTCTCTCTCTCTCTCTCTCTCTCTCTCTCTCTCTCTCTCTCTCTCTCTCTCTCTCTCTCTCTCTCTCTCTCTCTCTCTCTCTCTCCCCTTTGCGTGCATGTCGCCTCTTCTTGCCTGCTTATTACTTTTTACTGTGCAGTTTCCTCTCATTTCTCCCGTCTTTCATTATCAATTATTGCATCTCTTCCCTCTGTCCCATTACCCTCCTACGCTGCAGCCCGTCTTCACGCTGCCGGTGATATGCGTGCAGATTTGAGCGAGGAATGGAGTTACCAAGGCACATCGTTGCCAGACGTGTCGCTGGCGTGTTTTACTTAACATTTTCTCACCTGTGGTTATATGTAATTCAACCTAGTCTATCCTAGCCCTTCCTGATCTAGCCTAACCTACCACAACGTAACCTAACTCACTCTAAACTAATTCTGGCCTAACTCATACTACACAAACCTATTTTATCCCAGTCTAATCTAGCCCACCCTAATCTAACTTAACCTACTCTAATCTAACCTAGTCTACAGTAATCTAACCCAGCCTACCCCTAGTATAACCTAATCCAACCTACCCTACCCTAATCTAATCTAAACTACACTAATTTAATGTAGCCTACCCTAATCTAACCTTTTCTACCTTAACCTAGTCTATCTTACCCTAGTTTAACCTAAGCTAAAGTAAGTAAAACAGCTTCTCTAACTGCTTTTAACGTAAATAAAATTATCTCAACACACACACACACACACACACACACACACACACACACACACACACACACACACACACACACACACACACACACACACACACACACACACACACACACACATACACACACACACACAACAGCGAGTCATGGTACGTGATGAGGTATCACACTGGGCACCTGTGACGAACGGGGCCCCACAGGGATCAGTCCTAGGACCAGTGCTATTTTTAGTATATGCGAATGACATGATGGAAGGGATAGACTCTGAAGTGTCCCTGTTTGCAGATGATGTGAGGTTAATGAGGAGGATTAAATCAGATGAGGATCAGGCAGGACTACAAAGAGACCTGGACAGGCTGGACACGTGGTCCAGCAACTAGCTTCTCGAATTCAACCCCGCTAAATGCAAAGTTATGAAGATTGGGGAAGGGCAAAGAAGACCGCAGACAGAGTATAAGCTAGGCGGACAAAGACTGCAAACCTCGCTCAAGGAGAAAGATCTAGAGGTTACCATT